CAGTTTAGGGATCCCACCAGGATTTAAAAATTAGCCTCCGAATGCAAAAATATCAGATAGTTTGGCTTCAGGAGAAGTTAAGATTTGCCTTCACCCCAAGGCAATAGAAATAAAAACAAAAATAAACAAATGGGACCTAATCAAACTTAATAAGCTTTTGCACAGCCAAGGAAACCATAAAAAAACCAAAAAGACAACCTACGGAATAGGAGAAAATATTTGCAAATGATGCAACTGACAAAGGCTTAATCTCCGAAGTATACAAACAGCTCATACAGTTCAACAACAAAAAAACAAACAACCCAATCGAAAAATGGGCAGAAGATTTTAATAGACATTTCTCCAAAGAAGACATACAGATGGCCAGTAGGCACATGAAGAGATGCTCAACATCACTAATTATTAGAGAAATGCAAGTCAAAACTACCATGAGGTACCACCTCACACCAGTCAGAATGGTAATATTAAAAAGTCTACAAATAACAAATGCTGCAGAGGGTGTGGAGAAAAGGGGACCTCCTCCACTGTTGGTGGGAATGTATGTTGGTGCAGCTACTATGGAGAACAGCATGGAGGTTCCTCAGAAAACTAAAAATAGAGCTACCATATGATCCAGCAATCCCACTCCTGGGCATATACCCGCACAAAACTATAATTCAAAAAGATGCATGCACCCCTACGGTCATAGCAGCACTATTCACAATAGCCAAAACATGGAAATAACCTAAATGCCCATCAACAGATGAATGGATAAAGATGTGGTGCATATATACAGTGGAATATGAGTCATAAAAAGAACAAAATAATGCCATTTGCCGCAATATGGATGCAACTAGAGATGATCACACTAAGTGAAGTAAGTCAGAAAGAGAAAGACAAATACCATATGATATCACTTATATGTGGAATCTAAAATATGACAAATGAATTTATCTACAGAACAGAAACAGACTCACAGACGTAGAGAACAGACTTGTGGTTGCCATGGTGGGGTGGGGCAGAGGGTTGGACGGGAAGTTTGGGGTTGCGCTGGGAGATGCAAACTATTACATTTAGAATGGATAGACAACAAGGTCCTACTGTATAGCACAGGGAACTATATCCAGTCTCCTGGGATAAACCATAATGGAAAAGAGTATTAAAAAAAGAATGTACATAAGTACACTACCATGTGTAAAATAGATAGCTACAGGGAACTTGCTTAGCACAGGGAGCTCAGCTTGGTGCTCTGTGATGGCCTAGTCAGGTGGGGTGGTAGTGGGGAGGTCCAAGAGGGAGGGGATGCGTGTATGTGTATGGCTGATGTACTTCACTGTGCGGCAGAAACTAACACAACATTGCAAAGCAGTTATACTCAAAAAAAAAAAAAAGAATGTATATATGTGTAAAACAGGGTCACTTTGCTGTACAGCAGAGACTGGCACAACATTGTAAATCAATTATATTTCAATTAAAAAAAATTTGTCTTCAAGAGGATTTACTGATGGGAAAGCATACGTGACTGGTCTGATGGATAATTTTCTCTGAAAACTGCATTCTGACTTTCTTGTGTATACATCTGTCTCTTATGACTTTGGTCAATGTGTGTCAGTCCTCTGGAGCCCTTTTGCTTCTGGGTGTACAAACAGTAAAATTTCTGAGCCAATAAAGACCATGGAATATGGTAACAAAACCAAAATAGTGCCACCCTTGAAGTCAGTTCAAATTACTGAGTGTGGCAAGGCCTTGGCACACTCAATAACTTGGATGAATGGACAGACCAGTTTGGATACTGTCGGGGAAGCGCTCTCAGCTGGACATCACATCTCTTCCCATCAAACACTCCTCAAACGTTCCAAGCTTCATGAACCTCGTCCACCCTCACACCACAACTCAGCTCCACGAGCAGTTTTGGTGCCACAGCTCCTGGGGCTCCCGCTTCGAGGGGTCAGGGGAAGTTCCCTCCACCCTCCTTTGTCAAAGGCCTTGGGTCCCCAGTGCGGAGTCCACCCCAGGGACCCAGGCCCTCCTGTCAATCTTTAACGTGGTTAATCAGCCTGACTGTTGCCCTCAGGATTGCAGGTCGGCTTATTAGGTGTCAGCTTTGCATCCTGGCCTTTAAACTTCTCCAAACTGGGGGAAAGAGAGAGGACTTGTTTGGGGCCCTTTCATGTTGGGGGGTGCTGGCGGGGGGTCCCTTTGGCCCACCCAGCCTTAGGTAGTGCTGTTATCAAAACCTTTGTTTTAATCCCATCAATGTCCATTGTATTCATCCCATTTGGTTTTTTTTTGCGGAGCACAGGCTCCAGACGCGCAGGCTCAGCGGCCATGGCTCACGGGCCCAGCCGCTCCGCGGCATGTGGGATCTTCCCAGACCGGGGCACGAACCCGCGTTCCCTGCATCGGCAGGCGGACTCCCAACCACTGCGCCACCAGGGAAGCCCTTCATCCCATTTCTTAATAACCATCTATAGATTCCCACACTGCTGGGACCAGTCCTGTGACTCTCCCCTTAATAACCCTTTACAAATGTCTACCTTGTTGGAAAGAGTCCCGACTTCACCCTTCTTCTCACTCCCTTGTTAATTAATGGACCGTTTTTATTAGCATCTGTAAGACCCATGAGGCGAAGCTAGGACACTGAATTCCATACGGCTTCCCAAACCATTTTGTTCATTTGAGTTAAGGTAACCTTTTGGTCTTAACATTGGTGCCAATAAAACAGGTGTTTACAAGGAGAGGTCTCTAAAAAATTTACCAATTTAGAAGTTTTTCCAGTTCAAAGTATCCATCCTCTGGCCATTGACAGTAAGATCGTAATACTGACTCACACCATACGGCTCTCCGTGGCTTAACCATGAACAAAAGAGGTGTCCCTGGAGAGTGCAAAGGACACAGCCTCACAAGGTCCAGAAAGTTCGCCCCCAAGGATGGTCTAAGGAAGCAAAGGCGGCGTGAAGGTTGAGATGACAGAGGCCCCTTGGGGACGGAGACCTCTTGTGACAAACCCCCGAAGCTGGCACCGTTGGACAAGGACGCTGGTTGCAAGCCCAGGTGTGGCCTGTGCTTCCGACCAGAGGTGACAGCTAGGAATCCCAGTCCATCCGGCTGGCCACCCAATGCCCTGGTGCCTGCGCCTTCCAGACGGCAGGACCAGCCAAGTTTTCTCACTGGTGCTGAGGCCAAACTCTCAAGACAGAGAACAAGAAAAAAGTAAAACCAATCAGACCAATGGTTTTCCTCCTTGTGATACAAAAGACAGAAACAGAAAAACAGCGACCATCTCTGGGAGGAAAAGGATTCACAAGCCCAGAGCTCTCTTCCAAATTCACTGACCCAGAGGCCCTAAGGCCTGAGAACTAGCTCCACAAATATTTTCTCCTGCTAATCTGATTTTAGAAAAGAGAAAAAGGACTCTTTCCACTCCTGTTTTCAAAAGCCCCTGCAGGCGGAGATCCAGCAAACTGACAGGATAAGGATTCTCACCTTCTGCCAGGATCTCGGAGATGCAGGAGCCTGGGGCCAGGGGTGTCCAGCCAGTAAAGTTGAATCCAGCTGCCTAGGCCAGCTGGCCAACTGTCGGGGTGTAGGGGGAGACATGTCCATCTACCCTTCGAGGTTCTGGCTGGTCTGAGAATTAAACTGACATGAGACAGATTAACAGGAGAAAATCTAGCAAAAGTTTAATAACAGCTCTACGTGGGAGAGACCCAGGAAGACTGAGCCGCTCACCCAAATGGCTGAAGCCCTCACCTTAAATACCATCTTCAGCTCAAGACAAAAGAGGATGTTGGGGGTAGGGGTTTGGGACTTCAAAGGCGAGGAAGGCAATTCACAGGGTGATAAAAAGCAAGTGTTTGGTAAACACATGTTTGCTGGGCCAGCAGGGACAGTGGGACAGAGTGGACTCTGGTGTCCAGGCCCTGAGGGGTCCCCCGACCACACCCGGCCGTATTCTCTGCAGAGACTCTGGTGCGGCTCTATGCTGAGAACAGGCCCTTTAGGTCTTTTAGTCACTTAGGGGGAAGGTCAGAGGCTCTTCCTGAGTCTTCTAGGCCTTGTTTCAGCTCGAAATAATCCACATGCCGAAGTGACACTTTTGGGGGCGAGTGTGCTCCCCTACAGCGCAACGCACACACGCTTGTGAGCCCCCTGAAGGTACTGGAAGAGCCTTCCAGTACCTCGGCTACTCCCTCAACCCCCGATCCCCACCTCCCCGCAGAAGTCCTCGGGACAGTCCTCTTCCACACCCAGCAGAAGGGTCCTCGCTCACAGCACTTGACCCGCCCGGACTCCTTGTGGGACGCCTCCCCAGCCTGGAGCCCAGCCACCCCGCTGCCTCCCCGAGCTCAGGTCTGCAAAGCTGCGGTCGGTCCGTCAAGGTACCTGAGACCCCATCACCCTTTGCTTCTGGCCAACATGCAAGGTCCTGTGAGCGATTTGTTAATATTTTGACACTTTGGGATACTTCTGGACTCTTCTCAATCTTTTCCTTTTTTTTCTCTTTGATCTTTCTTCCTCAAAGTCAAATCAAATGTCTCTGTTGCCCATAGAAGTCCCCGTGCTCCACAGAGAGGGCCCCCAGGAACTCACCAGACCTCACTCTACCTGCAACTAGACCCATTTACCAGATGAAAGGCTCAGCGGGCCTTGCACCAAGGGCATCATCCTATGGGACTCACAGTAGCGCATTTGGATAGGAAAGGAGACGGTCAAGGATGGTCTGGGCACTAGGCACTGCCCAGAGTCCAGGGCAGGTGCCCAGGCATCAGCACGCCCCGTGCGTCTCGGGGGAGCTGGGCCAGGGGGATCACGAGGGAAGGGAGGTGACGGGCAGTGAGGGGCACGTGTCCAGTTTTGCAGGGCCCGCCCAGGGCTTCTTGCTCACATGGCCCCTGGAAAGGCACCAGGCCCCTTGGGGGTGAAGCCGGCCCTCGGTCCTATGCAGCACCAGGGTGGGGAGCCCGTGAAGCCCTGCAGGGTGAGAGCAGAGAGTCCAGCCTGAGCAGAGATGGACTCACCGGGTACAGCATGGCTCTGAGCTCCAGGTACAGCACATTGTCCTGGTAGAACTCCTCCAGGCCCTGGGAGATGTAGTCTCGGAATACCGGGGCGTAGCTCACGAGGCCCGCGATCGCGAAGAAGATGGTCTCGAACTTGGCCCAGACTGCGTCTTGGTTTGCATAAGTCTCCTGGGGGTTCTCGGTCACCAGAGTGAAATTCCTCAGCAGGCTGTCAGGATACAAAGGGTAGGCAGGGGCTTGCGGCAGGCCGTCAACCCCGGCCTGTAGGACTCCTGCCCAGGCTCCCTGATGGAGGCCTCCTGCCCTGGGACCTCCAAGTGCTCCCCAGGAGACACCTGGCAGGATGCTCCCACCAGCCAGGCTCTGCTGTCCCCCTTGGCCTCTTAGCCAGGCTGACCCCACTGAACGGACATCTCAGACCAAGCTGTCCTTGGAGGGTGCGATGCACTGAATCGTGTCCCCAAAATTCAGATGCTGAAACCCTAATTCCTAATGTGCGATGAGGACTTTCAGAAGGTAACTAAGGTTAAATGAGGTCGTAAGGGTGGAGCCCTGACCCAGTAGGGCTAGTGTCCGAGACCCCAGGGATGCACGCACAGTGAGAAGGCGGCCGTCTGCCAGCCCAGGAGAGAGGCCTTGGAGAAACCTGCCCACACCTTGATCTTGGACTTCCAGCTTCCAGAACTGTGAGAAGATACACTGGTATTCTTTAAGCCACCCCGCCTGTGGTATTCCATTGTGGCAGCCCCAGCAAGCTCAAGCCCGAGGTCCGATGGAAATAGTTGTGGACTTGGCGGTGCAGGACCCAGGTTACTTCCCTGATTAGCCGTTTACCAGCTGTGTGGCCTTGGGCAACCTCCTTAAAATGCAGGCTGGGCTGCATTTTCTCACTCATCAAGGAAATACCTCAAGAAAGCCCTCTGTAGATGGTTCTACGATTAGAATAGTTATTATAATGTTTGTATACAAGTCTGTTAGGAAGCTGGCCATCGTGTTTTCAGGCTGTTTCATCCATCCTGGGCCTCTTGGCTCCAGGAGCTGGGAATCCCCTTGTCTCCGGCCTTCCTGAGGGTCCAGACAAATCCCGTTCGGCGCGGCAGCAGTGTCGCTGGTCGAATCGGGTTTTAAACGTACCAGGAACTTGCTGCGGGTGGGGAAGGTGTTGAATGCCTTGGTGAAGCAAAGGATCCCGTAAAGTTAAGAGAAAAAGCCTCCGGACTTCTTTAACGCCAGCTGTTTCTAGAAGGGTCTGTCCCACGGGGACAGCGCACACGCCAAGCCCACCTGCGCAGGTGCGAGACGGGTTCTTCCCGAACCACCACCCACCTGTGGTCAAACTCGGTGACGTTCGGCAGCCCCTTTCGAAACTTCTCCAGCAAAACCCACGCGGGACATTCTGTTGTGTTCAGGGTGGGGGGAGTCGAGCGAGCAAATCTGAACTGCGGGGTCCCCCTCGGGGTGAGGCAGAAATAGCAGTGGGGCCTGTAGGTGACGTTTCTCACCAGCCAGTCCACGCTGACGATGCTGAAGTCGTGGATGTGTAAGGCAGCCCCTGCAGGGAGAGGGGTGGGTGGGGTGAGGCGAGGGCAGCGGGGGGCCGAGAGCCAAGCAGAGGCGGATGAGAGGGGCGCGGCTTTCTACGGAGCCACGTTCCTGGGGACACGAGGCCCTTTCCGTCTGTGGCGGCCTCGTCCCGGGGTGGCCCGGCCTCCTGGCTCCTTGACCGCGTCCCCCACCAGCAGGAGCCCTGGGGGGTCTCATCCAGGAGGCCGCAGGCGGGTTTGCAATCAGAAGGCTGGCCTCCATCTATTGGCTTCCAGCTCCCACGGGGAGCCTGACCCCCAGATGAGTCCTCCGGGCCCAGCGCAGCGTGAGGGGCGTGAGAAGACTGCCCCCGCCCGCCCACGCCAGCCTGTTGGCCCAGGGTCCCTGAGTCCCCCATCCTGTTCCGCGTCACCCCACATGCGGCCTGCCCACCTCCTGCTTCCCGCCGAGCCCTGCGGCTTCTGGCCTCCTTCAGACCTTGCACCGACTCGAGGCTCAGGGTTCACCCCCTCTGCCCTCCGGCTGCGTCTGAGCACCTGGCCTGGACACTGGCCCCTTGGCGGGTGTCCCGCTGTGCGAGCTCTGGCGTGTCCCCTCTCTAAACAGGGAGGCTGCTTTACCAACCTCACAGTCTTTACATTTTTTAATCTCTGTGATACTAAAAAAAAAAAGTATAGAAAGCTTGCAGCTGCAAGCTACGTGCTCAGGACCATGATTGTTCTACTGTTCACGGCGATGCGTCTATACAGTAGCGTCACCTGCAGATTGGCCCTCGCCATCTACCTCTACGAGGATTAAATCATGAGCCGCTGCAGCTGCTGACCTTCAACCCCCTGAAAGGAGTTCAGGGTGGAGATCAGAAATGAGGCCCTCTGTGCTCTGGGAAAAACTAACTCTTCATATTTACAAAAACACTAAGATCCTTCTTGGTGACGTCTGCTCTTGGTGACTAGCAGAAACCGCCTGCAAAAAACATGTGCTTCGGGCTTCCCTGGTGGCGCAGCGGTTGGGAGTCCGCCTGCCGATGCAGGGGACATGGGTTCGTGTCCCGGTCCGGGAAGATCCCACATGCCGCGGAGCGGCTGGGCCCGTGAGCCATGGCCACTGAGCCTGCGCGTCCGGAGCCTGTGCTCCGCAACGGGAGAGGCCACAGCAGTGAGAGGTACTGCAAAAAAAAACCAACAAAAAAACCCAAAAACAACATGTGCTTCATTGCATGTACTCCCCCTTCACCAAAATCACGTAGGTACTGACCTTCCCCCTACCTCTCTGGAGCAGTTTCTCAGAGCTATCTGAAATGCTGTCTCCCGGGCTATAGTCCTCATCTTGCCCCAAATAAAACTGAACTCCCAGCTCTCACGCTGTGCATTTTTTTCCAGTGGACAGTAGCAGTGAAGTACTAGAAATGTGTTGTTTACCCAGGACGCATCCTCTTCAGTAACTTAGCCCCCGGAAAGGCTAGAAGAACGTATGCAGGGAGGGATAGGGTTCTTACAGGGGACAACTTCCAGCCCCGCCAGGGATGCCCGGTCCCCTCGGAGCCTGTCTGAGGCCGAGTCCCCTCGGAGCCAGGGTTTTGGTTTCAGGGTGGACGGCAGCCACGTGGAGCCCCCGGCCCGAGTCCACCAGCAAGGACTAGGACTCAGGGCCCCAGTGGAGTCTGGGCTCCACTCAAAACAAGACCCACCGGCTCCAATTTAGTCCCTCCGATGTCCCCAGGACCCCAGAACCGTCCCCTCTGACCCCTACCTTTCGGCATCTTCTTCAGGATGTGGAACACTGCACTTTGCTCAATGAGGCTCTTGGCTTGGAAGAAGTGCATGCTGGCCGGGATGCTCCCCGCCCTCAGGGCCTCCTGCATCTCAGCCTCCTTGAGGGCCCCGAGCCTCTGGTTGGCCAGCTCCTCCTCCTGCTTCAGCACCAGCTGCCCCCCAATACGCATCATCTCCTCTCTCATCAACAGCCGGTTTCGTGCTTCGTCTCCGGATGCGGCCGAGCAGAAAGAAGACATGGCCACGGCCAGCAGCAGCGTGGGCAGCGCTGGCCGCCCTGACGCGGACATTGGGACGCCTGGAAGAGGAAGTCGCTCTGCTGGAGACTTGGGAAGGGGGAGGCTGAAGAGTTTAGTGTTGAAGCTGGACCGCCCTCCTCCCATCCTACACTCAGACGACCAGGAGGCAGCATGTGCACGACGCTTCTCCTTCTCTGAGATCCCAGAGAAGAGACCTCTGGGTACAGACAAGGGGGGGTTCCCCACATAAAAGTTCATCACGAGGCCTCCCAGAGCTCCCCCGCGAGCCCTGCTGACATGCACAGGAAAACACTGAAATCGGATTTTTAGTGTTTCACTTTTAAATACAACCGGAGAGCAGAGGATCACGAGGCTTATGAAGAAAGGCTCCAGCATAACAAAGGAACTTAAAAAATAACACAGAGAAGGAACTAGCACAGGAAACGAAAGAAGGCCCAGAAGAACCATAGTTAATATCTTTACGGAGATGAGAAAAGTTATGTGTCCCCAAAACAGGAACAGGGCGGTGTAAAAAATAAACAAAATGAGCTTTCAGAAATTAAAAACATGAATGCTGAAATTTAAAACATTGACGAGCAATATAAAAGATGGAACTGAAGAGAAGCTTTTAGAAAGTAGGACAAAAATAGGAGAGAAGAATATTGGTTCAGGAAATCCAACACCCAAATAACAGACATTTCAGAAGGAAAAAGAAAAAATAGATGGGAGAAAAAAAGGAAATAAATACTATAAGAAGTTGTCCCAGAACTGAAGACCTGCCCCCCCACCCCCACCCCGGGTTGGCAAGACACCCAGCAGGCACCCAGCACAGTCACTCAACAGCAACATGTGTTCCTGACATTTCAGAATATTAGCATCAAAGATTCCAGGAGCTTCCAGAGAGCAGCTGACCCAGGTCTCCAGTGAGCGGGGATTTGAGGGAAGAAGGAAGGAACTGCCCCAGTTGGGTCTGCGGGCGAACCCTGACCTGGGCTGACTACTGGAACCACATTTAGGAATTGTTTCTGCACACATGAGAGTATGACGCTTTCCACCAGAAAGAATCAAAACTGTAAATGGGGAGACCCCAGGCCCAGCCCCAAATTAGCACGTCTTGGTGAAACTCTGGGCAAATCACTTCATGACTGTGGGTCTGTTTCCTCACTTGCAAAAAAGGGTGAATTGGATGACATCAGTGGTTCTCAAAGTGTGATACACGCGTCATCCCTGTTCAGGTGGAATAAAAAACTTAAAGCAGTTAATGTAAAGAAAAATGTTAAGTAAATAGAGGTACAGCAATGCAACAAAAATGGAGAACACATCGTCCAAGGTCCTTTCCAGGGATGGCTCTCAATTATTCTAGGTATTTATTCAATGATTATACCAGACCGCAGGGGAGACGCAGGGGGAAACGCAGGGGGAGATTTTCAGAAGGAACCAGATGGTTATCCACTGGGACGGCAGCGTGGCAGGGCTGGACCCCAAATCCGAGAGCTGGGCTTTCGGAGAATCCCTGCCACTTCATCAGGTCCTAAAATCTCTCCTCGGTTGACAGTGTTTGCCAAAGCTGAAATCTCCAGGCAGAAGGACAGTGAGGTTTGTGCCATCCCCATCACGGAGCCATCCAGCCCCCCTAACATCCTCCACCAAGGGCCCCGCCCCTTGTCCCCTCTCCCCATGACATTTAACAAGGGCTACCACCCCCAAACCTCCCACTCGGTCCTCTCCAAGGACCCCAGAGCATCTGTGTGCCCAGCACCTGGGGGCTCCTCCCCGCCAGCCAGACCGAAGTGTGTCCAGCGCAGGTCAGGAGCAGCCAGCCGCGCAGGAGGAGGGGTCATCCCGTCCACACGGCCACTTCATGTCCTCCCTCCCTTTTAGAAGAAGGCGCGTAGGGGCTTCCCTGGTGGCACAGGAGTTAAGAGTCCGCCGGCCAACGCAGGGGACATGGGTTCTAGCCCTGGTCCCTGAAGATCCCACATGCCACGGAGCAACTAAGCCCGTGCACCACAACTACTGAGCCTGCGCTCTAGAGCCCGTGAGCCACAACTACTGAGCCTGTGCGCCACAACTACTGAAGCCCGTGTGCCTAGAGCCCGTGCTCCGCCACAAGAGAAGCCACCGCAATGAGAAGCCCGCGCACCACAACAAAGAGTAGCCCCTGCTTGCCGCAACTAGAGAAAAGCCCGTGTGCAGCAACGAAGACCCAACACAGCCAAAAATAAATAAAATAAAAACTAAATAAATTTCTAAAAAAAAAAAGGAAGGTGCATAAAAGCTCTACAAAAATAGCTTGCTTGCAGGCTCAGAAGAAAGGATCGGTGCATCCGTGAGCCTGAGGCACGTCCCTGGGCTGCAGCAGGTGGTGCAGCCAGGCTGCCCTGCCCCCACCCCACTCCCGGCGGGCAGGGCCCCTGCCCAGGTGAGTCAGCAGTGCCACCAGCCACCTACACGCCTTGGTCCCTGGGCCCCACCCAGGAGACCCCAGTTACCTCGGGGCAGCTTCAGCGACCGTGACCGTGGACTCTGTCCCCCCAGTGGCCCGTTGGAAGCCCAGGCTCCCGACTGTTTCACTTCCCCAAGGGGTTTCACTTCCCTGCAGCCCAGGGAGGGAGGGCCGCCCGCGTGTGCATGTTTCTACGTGTGTGTGAACATCCACGTGTGTGCGTGTGCGTTTCTGGGGGTTATATGCACACGTGTGTCTGTGTGTGTGCGTGAGTCTGTGTGCAGGTGGGTTGTGCTCATTTGTCTGGGGTGTGAGTCGCGGTGCACTGTGCCTGTATGACCCGGAACATAGTTCTGGACCACACGGACCACTGTGAGGCACTCAGACCCGCTCATGAACTTTGGGATGTGTTCCCCTCCTCAAAGCGCAGGGTGAAGTGTGGGCCAGCCCACTGGACAGCAGGTAAACAAGTAGGCAGGTATAATAAAAGGTAGATGTTTGGGACTTCCGCGGAGGGCCAGTGGTTAGGACTCAGCCCTTGCACTGCCGAGGGCCCGGGTTCAATCCCTGGTCAGGGAGCAGATATCCTGCAAGCTGCACGGCGTGGCTAAAAAGAAACAAAAAGGCAGATGTTTTATGGAGAATCAGGGATGTTGGGGAAGGACAGTGGAGGATGCAGGGCTGGGAGGCCGAGGGAGGCGGGAAGGGTAGCCCCTCCGGGAGGGAAGGCAGGGTGGACACAGCGCTGATGCCCAGAGGCTTTGATCAGGCCGAGCCTCATACCAGCCTGGCCATGCACAGCGGTGTGACCTCAGCCGTGTCATTTAAACGCTCTGTACTTCAGTTTCCTGGGCTGAAAGTGGAGCTCGTAGAAGCAGGGCTGCACACGGTGCTGCACGGGTCAGTGGGGAAGGCCTGCAAAGGGCCCAGTGCCCGGCAAGTTCCCAGCAATACGAACATCACTGTCATTGGAGTAACTCTTGTGACTCAGCCCCAGGCCAACCTAATGGCGACACCATGGTAGGCTGCCCCAGTGACCTGTGTCACACACACGGTCCACATGCTTGCCCTGCACCCCTCCCATCCCAGCCGTGCCCCACTCCTACAATGCCTTCTGCCCCAAATCACCCACAAAGCCACTTAGCAGCTCCTAATCTGCTGGAACCTCCGGGCCCCTTGTCATCACTCCAAGAAGTAAAAAGGCCATCGCTTACTAAGCAGGAAGAAATTCTAAAGATAAAATAAATAGGAATTAAGAACTCCCTCTTCAAGAGTTCAAGATTAATATATATTTTTTAAATTTTTATTTATTTTTGGCTGTGTTGGGTCTTCGTTGCTGCGTGCGGGCTTTCTCTAGTTGCGGCGAGCGGGGGCTACTCTTCGTTGCGGTGCGCGGGCTTCTCATTGCAGTGGCTTCTCTTGTTGCAGAGCACAGGCTCTAGGTGTGTGGTCTTCAGTAGTTGTGGCTCATGGGCTCTAGAGCGCAGGCTCAGTAGCTGTGGCGCATGGGCTTAGTTGCTCCGCAGCATGTGGGATCTTCCCGGACCAGGGCTCGAACCTGTGTCCCCTGCATTGGCAGGCAGATTCTTAACCACTGTGCCAGCAAGGAAGCCCTCAAGATTAGTTTTTAAAAGTCAGAGGAATCAGGGACTTCCCTGGTGATCCAGTGGTTAGGACTCCATGCTTCCACTGCAGGGGGCACAGGTTCGATCCCTGGTCAGGGAACTAAGATCCTACATGCAGCATGGCATGGCCAAAAAAAAAAAAAAAAAAAAAAGTAAGAGGAATCAAAAGGAAAAAGCAAGTAGTAAAGAAAAACAACATTGGGCTTCCCTGGTGGCGCAGTGGTTAAGAATCCACCTGCCAATTCAAGGGACACGGGTTTGATCCCTGGTCCGGGAAGATCCCACATGCCACAGAGCAACTAAGCCTGTGTGCCACAACTACTGAGCCTGTGCTCTAGAGCCTGCTAGCCACAACTACTGAAGCCCGCACGCCTGGAGCCCATGCTACGCCACAAGAGAAGCCACCAGTGAGAAGCCCGCACGCAGCAACGAAGACAAATGCAGCCAAAAATAAATAAATACATAAATAAATAAACAATAACAACATTGATTAAAGCAGAAGGTAAGAGGGCAGACCACCGACCTTGAACAGAAATCATCTGAAGATTTTAAAAATACCAGATCAGAGTTAAAGAGAAACCTTGTCTTTTTAAAAGCTTCGGTTAAAAGTAGGAGCTAATTTTCACATCTCAAAAGCTTGGCTCTGGGGCCTGCACTGGCCGGGGTGGGGTCCAGGTGCTGTGCTGCGGAATCTACCTGGGTGGGGGGAGCAGGGGACCCAGGTGGGCTAGGCGGAAACAGAGGGGCCGGCCAGGTGCACATACCTGACATAGAGTCAGAAACAAGAAGGCACAGCAGGGTCAGAGACTGAGCAGAGGCGTGCAGAGCAGCAGGTCCAGGACGGCTGTCCAGGCCAACCTCTCGGGTTTTTGTAGCTACGGTCCCCTCTGAGGTCGCTCAGCCTCCAGGTGCGGCCCGGTCCAGCAGAGAAGCCGTGGCCTGTGATGACAGCTCCAGCGGGGCAGCGCGGTGAGGCCATGCCAACCACAGCTGTGCCAGTGCAGGGACCGTAAAACGTGGAGTAGGATGCTGGTCCCACACGTTCCTGACGACCACCGTCAGAAGCCGAACTGGGCTTCTGTTCAAATCAGAATCTCCAGAAAAGGGAACCAAAGCACCCTCTGGCACCACAAAATTACACCTGCACGGAATGAAGCCGGAAGGGACAGGTGGGTCATGACCCCTGCCAACTTCAAAAAAAAAAAAGCACAACGTGAGAGCTGTGAATTAAGTTTTATTCGGGGCAAAATGAGGCCTGTGGCCCGGGAGACAGCATCTCGGAGAGCTCTGAGGAACTGCTCCTAAGAGGCAGCGGGAAGGTCAGTACAGATGTGACTTTGGTGAAGGGGGAGGGGAGTACACACAACGCAGCACATATTTTTGCAGAGGTTTCTGCTCGTCTCAAGGAGCAGACGTCACCATGAAGGATTTTAGTGCTCTTCTAGATATGAGGAGATGCAAGAATTGGGCTCATAAAATCTTCTCCTGAAA